TTGTTGAACATTCAACTGGTGTATGTATGATGGTTCAATCTTCTTTCTCTGGATTTGCAGCTAGCTTGTCTAATCTTTTTCTTGAAATTACAAAGCCCACACCATCTTTCGGATCATGTTCCGTCATAACTAACTTAAGTTCAGTTAATAATGTTTCAATTTTAATTCATATTAAGTATATAGTATATTTTCTTCATAGTAAATTTTATTTCGAATTATACAGCTAATATAATGTCTGAGTTTACAGTTGATTTCACATAACTTTTTCCTAAAAGTGTTGCAAACTTCGTTCCAAAGTTCGTTGCGAAGTTTAAAAGTTAATAATCATATACAGGGGCCAGGGGCCAGTCAGAGAATTTGTTTACGATCCAACTCGTGAATTTCAATATGTACTTTTGAACTTCACAACGAAATTGAGAACGGAGTTCGCAACATTCAGGGAAGAGTTATGTGAAATAGACTGTAATACCATATCCCTTATATATTAGCGCAATGTAAACACTCCATATAACACACATATTTGATTGTAATAAATATTTTAACAATGTATTTATACCTTTTTTAGCAAGTAACACAGAAATTCTATGGACAAGAAGATCGAAAAAACATTATTCAATAATGTCAAAATTGGCAACACTTTTAAAAAACGAACCTTCAAAGGCAACGAGAATTGGAACTTATCGCGTTTGTTTTCATGATGAATTTTGCATCGGGAACGGAAGTGACGGAACAAATGTTTATGTTGGATTATCAGATGATGGCTATGAAGTGGCAATAAAGTGCATGAATCTGAATAAATGTCAGCAAATTGGCGACAGTGAGAAAGAAATCTTGAATTGTCCAAACGTTCGAAAAGAAAAGCACATTGTCAACTATCGCTTTTACCAACCAGTCGATTCTAAAAAAGCGAACTTAGTTTTGGATTTACATGAGGAAACCTTACGGGATTATGTTTTGCACAAGAATCGCACTATCGAACATTTAAGAAAAGAAGGTCCAAGTATAATACATCAAATACTTTTTGGTGTAAAAGCCCTTCATTGCAGCGATCCGGAAATACTCCATCGAGATTTGAAACCATCGAATATACTTGTGAACGTGGAAGGCGAGATGGTGCTTGCTGATTTTGGCATCAGTCGAACACTTTCAAAAGACAAAACCACGTACATGAGCGGTTTAAGTGGAACTGAAGGCTGGATGGCAGTGGAATCACTTCCGAATGAAGAAGATGAAGACGACTACTTATCGTATGCTGATATTAAAGTTCGTTATAAGAAACAATCTGACATTCAGGTTGTTGGTATGTTATGTTACTATGTTTTGACCAAGGGAAAACATCCATACGGTAAACATATTCATCGAAATCATAATATATCGAAAGGAGATTTTAATTTGAAGGATTTAAATGATCCATGCGCAATAGACCTTATTACATGGATGCTCCAGCATGATCCTGTCAAACGACCCAATGTTCACCAATGTCTAAAGCACCCCTACCTGCGAACGGCTGAAGAAAATTTTAATTTCGTGACGCGTATTGGAAACGAGAAAGAAATTAAAATCAAAGATGCAACATCACTCGTTGTTCAAGAATTAAATAAGGTGTCTGGTTTGATCAATTGGATAGCGATGATTGATGTTTGTGTGATGAAGCACATGACTGCACCTCGGCGTACCGCGTATGCAAATGATGCAGTAGATCTTCTGAGATTTATTCGAAACATGGCAGTACATTGGCGTGACAAGGCACCACCAGTAAATGTCCAGAACACTGTCGTTACACCACAAGAATATTTTCAAAGAAAATTCCCTGCGCTGTCTGTTGAAGTGCATCAAGTCATCAGAGAACATCCTAACTGGACAAGAAGAGTAGATTTGAAGGAATTTTTTTAATTCTCGTAGCTGCAACACGTGGCTAAATAAACTACGTTTTGCGAAACAATTAGTTAGCAGTAAGGACAGCAGATTTTCAAGACAATGAAGAGGCAATAAAACATTGCCATCGTTGGATCGTGAATGGATGGCACTCATGCATTAATGTTGTGTTAAGTGTTGTAGTATTAAAAACTTTGTAATACCATATATCATACAACACATCATATCTCTATGTAATGATTATGAATCAGTGAGTGGTCCGCCACAATGAATTCTGAGTGTGTATGTATGCATGTATGTAAGACTAACGAAAGGGTGAAATCTTAAGTTGTTCTTGTGTGTTTTTGTTTATTAATTAGTTACTTGCTTTTAAATAGCAGTATATTTTGCTCCTATGTAAATAGTGATATTAAGAAAATTATCAAATTTCACCCTGTGATATTAAAATCCTTTCCACAGCCAGTTCTGAAGCAGATTTACTCATTCGCGAAAGCCTTTTCATATCCAAGCTTAACCTACTTTAAATGCCAACAATAAGTCAATTTCTCTTGACCTATTCTAATGCTTTGCAATTTCTGGGTCTCTAATTACGAACCATTCTATCTTTAATTTACAAATATTTTTAATTAATGACAGGTTGCTTTTCATCCCTTTCCTCCTATTCGTATATTGAATATTGTTACGGTTTGAAACTATTTGTGTATATACGGTAGTAGTGATAGACCCCACTCTGGCGGATTTTATAATGAGCTTGCAAAATCTATAACGCCAGGTAGCGCGACCAATTAACGCGGGCAAGCCTGGGCCAAATGTCACAAGTAACGCTACCAATTAGCATCACAATACAGTAATGAGATCAATTAGCGGCACAGCACAGTAACGCGACCAAACAGATTATCAGAGATTATAAATATCGTGTTTCGAAAAACACGTCTCATTTCTCACTGTTGCATTTTGGAAAGAGTTATCTGGTTCTCAAGTGTTGTCTGGTGGATTGCATTGGATTGTTTTTAAAATGGCTCAATCGGTAAGTTTTTAAAATGGCTCAATCGATAGCGTTTTGAATATATGTTTACGATATTTTCAGATTTATGGGTTGGATTTCTGACTAATTTATTTTTTAGATTAATACGCTGAATTTGATCAAGGCTTGTGAGACCGAAAGTGAGCTCCACTTGCTTCAGGAGTCTTTATGCTCACTGAAGAGCAGAACGAAGCTGTTCTTCAGCCGCGCATTATATTTTGGACGAATGCTTAGGCTGAAGATATTGCACGGGAGAGTCCAGGTGGAGTTGTTGCTGGCTTCATGGATAATTGGACCAAGGATCAACGGCGTCAGTTTAACGAAGACTGGGCTAATGACGAAGGTTTACGCGAGCTTGAATGGTTGCCTGAACCGTCGGATAACTAAATGGGTGAAGGGAGCAAGCGAAAGCACGACAGCGATGACGTCCCCTTAGAACGCCAGAGACCAGAGGAATACTTTACAATCAAGTCGGTGAAACAAGTTAACGTGAGGAAATTCAGGACGACAGGTACACAAACTGTTTTTATTTTTTTAAGCGTGTATAATATATTTTTAAGCATAACATCAGTTACGCTCAGTGTGGGATAGAGTTTATTGCTTGCGAGTAAGGTTTCGTTTTTATTGTAAGAGTTTTGTTTATTGCTTGTGTATACACCTGTAACTGGCGGTACAAAGTGAATAGTAAGCCTATGGTTTGGAATGAATTGGCCGAGGCGATGAAGGTACTAAAACTGGCGGTTGACAGAGATGTACTCGAACATTTACAGCAACTGGAAAAAGATCCTGATTCTACGTTTGTCGATTCATTGCTGGAACTACATCAGAACACTGAGAACCACGAACTACAATGTATACTGAACAATTTATTGCATTGGAGATTAGAGGATCCGCTCGAGTCCGTAGCTGAAGCGTTTTTCTCTTGCCCACCGAGTTCTGTGAAGGTGAGGGGTGAACGATTTAGAAGTTTTGAGGCCGATCATAAAATTGCTTATCAAGGATTCTTGGATAAAAAACTTGTATAAGAATTTAACAAACAGTTTTAGTTGTAATATTTTGACACTATAGTCTGTTATTTGTATCAATAAACATGTTTTAAACTTTGCAAATGTTGCGTTGTTATGCGTTGCTAAGTCATTAGGAGGCGTGTAGGAAATTAAGAGATTAGGCGAACAAAAATCTGCATAACTAAGTGTATCCCAATGGATAGATAGGAATATAATTACGTGTTTGGTGCAAGCATATAGTTTATTTGATTTTTATGTCAAGGAAACTGTAATGCCTTGTTGGCAGAATGGTATGGCATTGGAGTTTGTCCCAAAATAAAGGGGTTCGAGTCCCTTGCATGGCGAAATTTTTATCGAAATGTATAGCCGAGTTATACCCATCTCGGAAGAGATAAGTCGCGCATAGCAGATAGATTTATAATTCAGTTGTTTGCCTTAAAATCGGGCGCGAGGCTTTTTGGCAACAGTTTGCACAATATTTCAGTTTTAAAATACATTTCTTTCTTTAAGTACTACAAAGTTAATAATTCTTGTCTGTATAAATATAATATTACCCCCTTAAGAATTTTGCCCCGTTTTTGTTTCTAGCTTTGACCACTCCTTTGAGCCTTCATTCATTTCTGTATTATCCACGTTCTTTGCAGATTTTGTATTTGATTTTGTTCTCCTCCTGGAGGATTTTGTTTGACGGATGGATAGATTTCTTTATCCCGCTTTTGTTCCACTTTGACTGCTTTTTACTGTTCCCAATTAATCTGTACAACTCTGTTAAAACATTTTCTAAGTCTAAAGCTGTTGGCTTAGCACAAATAAGATAAGGTTATCTTTCTTGGCACAAAAGTTCATGGACGTCTGCCAAATTGTTTGCCAGTCTTTTTAAAGCTCGCTTGCCACAGATGGGACAATCTTTACACTTCCAAGGCCGGCATAATGTCAAATGATAAATTGTCAACTGATTCCTAACATTAAATAGTTGTGGCCCCAAAGGCCTTTTTGAAGGTTTGCTGGGACTTGGAAGAGGGTTCGAGAAATGGGTCAGTGGAAAATAGCTACCACACAGGATCGTATTTTATTTTTTATAAATCAAACACAAACAACCATTAAGAGTCAATGTCACTACGATACCGTGTGTTTCTGAAATGTCTTTTCAGAAGAAATTTTCTCTTGTCAATAGCGGCCTCTAACGCTTCCCTGTGGTCGAAACTATCATCATTGACAAAGACATCCCTGGTTTCCATAATCTTTTTTGTGTATTGGATCTCTCTTTATGTGTCTTATCTATAGTAGACGTTCCAAATAAATATTCTGCAAATCTTTACGAAGTTTTGGTAGGATAAGTAAATATGCCTTGTCTTTAGCTTCGTTTTCGTCAAAACCTTCTGCAGCGAAATTCTGCGTTAGTTCTTCAAATTCCGATAAACTTTGTTGGGTTGCTTCAGCTTTTAAAGGAGTCCATGGATCGCTTTCGTATTCATTACCTACTTCACTACTAAGATCATCTACATTATCAGAATTACTCTCTGACACAGAATCAGTTTCCACTTCGTTGTCAGTGTTATACGAATTCTCAACATCACTCTCTCTGATGTAGCACTATCAGAGTCTGCAACCGTTCTCATTCTTTTCATCTTTACGCTGAAATCTGTAGTAAATTTCCAACAGTACTGTATTTCCTTCGTATATTGTTAGGTTGAAACAACTGCAACCACAACCAACCGGCGAATGATCAATTTTTAGAACAACATTACATTTTATGAAGTGACCTTAAGGGACTTTTCTATGGCCTTGTGTCCCGATTGGTGATTGGCTGGGACACTTCCCCACCAATAGTATTCTAGAGAATCGGGCCACAAGGCCATAAAAAAGGCCCTTGTGGCCAATGTGAAAAGTGGCTTCAAGGGTCTTTTCTACGCTTTGTGTCCCGATTGGTGATTGGCTGCGACACTTCCCCACCAATAGGATTCTAGAGAATCGGGCCACAAGGCCATAAAAAAGGCCCTTGGGGCCAATGTGAAAAGTGGCCTCAAGGGCCTTTTCTACGGCCCTGTGGCCCGATTGATGATTAGTTGGGATGGGCCACTTTTCGCACTGGCCCTAAGGGCCTTTTTATGGCCTTGTGGCCCGATTCTCTAGAATCCTATTGGTGGGGAAGTGTCCCAGCCAATCACCAATCGGACACAAGGCCATAGAAAAGTCCCTTAAGGTCACTTCATAAAATGTAATGTTGTTCTAAAAATTGATCATTCGCCGGTTGGTTGTGGTTGCAGTTGTTTCAACCTAACTATATACGAAGGAAATACAGTACTGTTGGAAATCTACTACAGATTTCAGTGTAAAGATGAAAAGAATGAGAACGGTTGCAGACTCTGATAATGCTACATCAGAGAGTGATGTTGAGAATTCGTATAACACTGACAACGAAGTGGAAACTGATTCTGTGTCAGAGAGTGATTCTGATAATGTAGATGATACTAGTAGTGAAGAAGGTGATGAATACGAAAGCGATCCATGGGCTCCTTGAACCCAACAAAGTTTATCGGAATTCGAAGAACTAATGCAGAATTTCACTGCAGAAGGTTTTGACGAAAACGAAGCTAAAGACAAGGCATATTTACTTATCCTACCAAAACTTCGTAAAGATTTGCAGAATATTTATTTGGAACGTCTACTATGGATAAGACAACTAAAGAGAGATCCAATACACAAAAAGATTATGGAAACCAGGGATGTCTTTGTCAATGATTATAATTTCGACCACAGGGAAGCGTTAGAGGCCGCTATTGACAAGAGAAAATTTCTTTTGAAAAGACTTTTCAGAAACACACGGTATCGTAGTGACATTGACTCTTAATGGTTGTTTGTGTTTGATTTATAAAAATAAAATACGATCCTGTGTGGTAGCTATTTTCCCCTAACCCATTTCTCGAACCCTCTCCCAAGTCCCGGCAAACCTTCAAAAAGGCCTTTGGGGCCACAACTATTTAATGTTAGGAATCAGTTGACATTTATCATTTGACATTATGCCTCGGAAGTGTAAAGATTGTCCCATCTGCGGCAAGCGAGCTCTAAAAAGATTGGCAAACCATTTGGCAGACGTCCATGAACTTTCGTCCCAAGAAAGACAACCTTATCTTATTCGTGCTAAGCCAACAGCTTTAGACTTAGAAAATGTTTTAACAGAGTTGTACAGATTAATTGGGAACAGTAAAAAGCAGTCAAAGTGGAATAAAAGCGGAATAAAGAATATACCCATCCGTCAACCAAAATCCTCCAGGAAGAGAACAAAATCAAATACAAAATATGAACGTGGACAATACAGAAATGAATGATGGCTCAAAGGAGTGGTTAAAGTTAGAAACAAAAACGGGACAAAACTCTTAAGTGGATAATATTATATTTATACAGACAAGAATTATTAACTTTGTAGTACTTAAAGAAATATAAATGTGTTTTAAATCTAAATTCTTGTGTAAATTTTTGCCCACAAAGCCTCGCGCCCGATTTTAAGGCATACACCTGCGTTATAAATAATCCCTATCTATCCATTGGGATACACTTAGTTATGCAGATTTTTGTTCGCCTAATCCCTTAATTACCTACACACCTCCTAATGACTTAGCAACACATAGCAACATATATAACTACCGCATATTTGATAAAAACATATTTATTTTTTATGGCAAAATGTATTACAACTGTTCTAAAAGTTTTTTTCCCCCAAGTATTCTTGATAAGCTTTCTTATGATCTGACCCGGTCATCTTAACAGTATATATGTATGTAGGAGGTTTGCTACCTGGGATGAGCAACTGTTTAGGTCAACAGGTGGGAAATTTGTCTGAGCATGCGCGAGCAAATTGAAAAACACAATTGCGTGGAATACACGCAACGCGTGTTTACAAAAAGGCACAATCGTGTAAATATTGCCAAATGTTTGTACAAAATAAATGACTGTTTTATGTTGAAAATGGACACGATCTAAATTAATCATACAGAATTTTTTAGTGACGTTCTATTTCAGTACCCTGCCATTGTCTCTGGTGGGCTGTCCGTGTGCATTCGATCTGAAACAGTCGCTACTATGCTGTCGAAAAATTTCGAATGTTTACATGAAAATAGAGGCAAGTCATGCATTTTACAACCTCGTAAACTGTATGAGCCCCTATTTTTACGCTTATACCTAAGATATCAAATAAAAATACATGAAACAGAGAACATTTTCTGAAAGTTTTATCTTGAGGCCACGGCCAGTTTTTAAAATATCTTTATTTCTGTTCCGGTCATCACCAAAATTACACTAAAGCCGGGCTTGAATATACAACAAATTTTGAATCTCATCAAGTACAAAAATATTTAACGTGTAACCAAAATATGCTCACGAAATCGAAATTAATAGCTAAATTTTCAATCTAGACCCTTCTTGGGCCGGTTTTCGTGAAGGAAGTTCACATTTCGGCCTTTGATTCTTGGGAAAAATTTGACCACAACACGTGCGAAGCAACTGGGTCTCAAAGACTCAGCTAAAACATTGTGAGCCCCTATTTTCCTGACGATATGTTTGATACCCACAAACGCCGAAAAGTTTTTTCTTTTCATTTAGCTATATTTGAAATTGAGGCCACGGGCTATTTTTGAGAAAATACAGTTCAAAGTCAAGCTATTTTTACATATTTTCAAAATTTGTCAAATTTCGCGAGCTTGTATTTTGAACTTAGACAGCTGAAGTTACATTAAGAAACATAGGATGGAAATTTGAGGCATATAAAGTCAATTTCAACTTACATTTGATTCTCATATCACGTCTTTCTTCGTTTATTTAATACGGTTTTAAACAAGCCACAGATCGACGTATACGGTATTCACTCCCATGTTCACGTCGCCATATTAACTTCTTCCAATCACTCGATTACAAAACAAATGTCCCAAACCAAAGAACTCATAGTCGACTTTTAAAACAATAACCGTTAATTTGTAAATCGTTGAATGGAAAGCAAAAAATCGTCAGCTAAAACAGCATCTTGCTAACTTTCTGCTTTGTTTTGAATGTAAATGACTAAATGCAATGAGCTTTGTTTCTGCCCGCGATTTTTTGGTCAGCGACGACAAATTTCCCACCTGTTGTTTAGCTCTGTTTAAAATATGTCTTGATTTTTGTGACGAATAGATTCCTAGCCTCGCTATAATTTTGTAAACATACGAAAAATCCTTCAATATACCTGTGGAAATTTATCTCTTCCGAGCAAAGATACGGCTATAACTCTGCTATATATTAATTTCGATAACAATTTTGCCATGCGAGGGACACGAACTATTCATAGTAAGCCAAGATTAATCCCTCTATTGTATCACACACGTGGAGGGACGCTAAAAAATGCGTAGTCAGTAAGTTTTGTCCGACCTTGTTTAAGCTTGCCCGCGTGACGTCATTGCAGATAATTATGACGTATGTTAATTAATTATAAATGAGGTGGTGGACATCCACCACCTCAAACTCCACCACCTCACACTCCACCACCCCACTCCTCCTCTTCCTCCTCCTCACTCCTCCTCCTCACTCCACCACACTCCACCACCACCGCAAAAATCCGGGTCGATCGGCCTGTATATTACTACTGATTCCCAATTTGGATTTCGAAAATTTCACTCTACAGCTAGTGCATTACTAGACTGTACTAATGATTGGTATGTAAATCTAGACAGAAAAATGTTTAACCTAGTAGTTTTAATTGATTTGAACAAAGCCTTTGATACTGTTGATCATCAAATTTTGCTGAACAAATTAGAGCTCTATGGAATGAAAGGACAAGCTCTAACTTTGCTCAAATCCTATCTCACAAACCGAAGGAGTAACAATTGACCAGCATTTATCTTGGAAAAGTAATACCGAAAATATTTGCAAAAAAGTTACAGCAGGAATCTCTGCTATTCGTCGGATCAAACCATTTGTTGATCCAGATACACTTATTTTGATATATAACACTATTGTTCGTCCGTACTTTGACTACTGCTGTGAAGTATGGGATGTATTTTGGCAAAACTCAAGGAAAGTGCTGCCTTGGTAGATAAATTCGAGCATAAACTGAATGAAAAATTAACTTATAGTTTTAAATATACACATACAAAGACACACTGTATGTATCAATTTATTGTGTTAAAATTGAGATTACAACACTCTGCAACACTTTGATTCAGAGCTGTATAAAAACTAATTGAGTTTACAAAGCAACATATTTGAGTGTACGATTGTCAATAGTTCTTGTTACCAACAATTTAAACTTCTAAACATCAGTAGAAATGTTTTGACTACAAAGCTCCCTGCCGATACTATAGGATTGGAAGTTGGAACTTAAAAGAATTTGAAGTACAAATACATGTTGTACGTTCTTTAAATCATTGTGACATCATTGATGCCATTTGTTGACTGTTCTTGTTCTGAAGATATTGATGCTGCATTTTAGTCGAGGACCTGTATATGAGTTTGTATGCATTTCATTTAGGACAGAAAATCTCAACTGTTTTGGGGCAAGTTGACCATGACGGTCGACATGGTAATAATAATAATAATAATAATGGTTTATTAGCATTCCACACAAGTGGCTCTTCTATGCTAAAAAACGCATAACGCATTTTCCGAATAATCACCTATAAAATCATACTAAAACAATTATTCACCTCAAGCTCGGTGATTATCGTGAATAAAAACCTCGACTTCGTCTCGGTTTTTATCCACCGATAATCAACTCGCCTTCGGCGAATAACTGTTAAATATCGAAATCATCCCGCCTCATATCTCGTCCTGGTAAAGCGGTATCATATAAACAACCCTTTATTCAGGAAATTGCGCATGCTGCCTTTCATTTCTTGGGGTGAGGCAGCATTTTCCTTGCGATAGTAACTTCTAGTATCATTTTGTAAATAGCTTTTAATTTAAAATTCTTTATCTGTAAACTTTTGTACAATTGTACGAGCCCTCGTGGAATCAGCTTCGGTTGACGGAGTCAGCGTGTTTAAATAAAGTTCTTCTATTTATCTATCTATGAACAGTGTCTGTCTATAAACACGAGAGATCTAAATACTCTGCCAGTACGAAATTGTGTGTGATAGTCTGATAGACTATTCTCTCACGGTTAGTCTACAGTAACTACACAAATATGAAATATTCATTCCGAACTTCGAAGCTCTTCTATGGAGGTATTCTGTGTTTCGCATGAAGTTATACTGGACAGGGGAGACAATACCCGACTATAATATCCTCCTGCTTTATATTTTATATATTTATTCCTTTCAGCCTGCGTGTCTCACAATCTCCTAATGACGTTATGTATATTATATACGTACGGCATGGTTCTGAATATCTCTATTTATATAGTCTTGGAATGACGGTGTTCACAGTTCACTACACTGTCACTGACTTGGATAACCAAGAACAGGGCAAAAACTGAAAAATAGTGTGTTAGTTCTGCACCACTTAGCTTAAACAAAACCAAGTAGCTTGGTTGCACTTGCACAACGATCTAGAAAATTCTTGGTCCCACGCACGCAAGTATGAATATTAGTGGGTTAGGTAAATTTAAAAAACACTTAGTTAATAAAACACTTTTAGTAAATGAAAGTTGTGATCATTTTCTGGTCACACAGACATTCTAATTGAAATATGTAGATATTGTAATTTAAACTATATATATTTTTGGACCACAATGTAAAATACAGGTTTATCAGTAATTTGTGTAATCCTGTAATAAAGTTCATTAAAGTTCAAGTATGATCGCACGCAATCCAAATACCCAGGCAATTTGTGACTGGTCATGTTGTTGCGAGTTCCTTGCTATTGATGTGATATAGATATGTAATCGCCTGAATCTTTCTAGTAAACACACATTAAGGAAGACAACATAAAAAATGAAAGATGAAAAGAAAAATGGCATAGTTGTACCAAATAAAAAAATCTCTTCCTCTCTTGATCCCGTTTATCATTTGACGAGATGGTGATATTCTTCCAGTATTACAATCTTCCAAGATGTCGTCACATATGTTAATATGCTCAGCAAATGTCACACGTCCCTTTGTTAAGTTCCGAATCCGATAAAACAATGATTGCCACCAACTTGAATTGCCACAAAAATGTTTCTTACAGGCAGCTATGCAGCTATAGCTTAACCTGTCACCATTTCGCAAGCAATATTCAAGAGCTTTGTCAAATTGTGTTCTTGCTTCAGTTGGTTTTTCGGCTTCTAATTTAAGTATTGCACAATAGGCGAGTAATATACAGTATTCTGGGCAGGGAAAGACGTCTGCTTCTAATACTTCTTCATAAACGTTCACAGATTTGTTCAAAATATTTTCCGCCAAATTCATACACTTCCGGTATTTCCAAGGCTTAAAAGTGGATTCAATAATGCCAAACATGTATACACCCGATAGATATTTTAAACAACGTGCTCTGCTTACATTCTCACTATCTGGCGCGCAACTTGAAAAAAATTCTGCTGCTTTTTCGACAACTGCTCCTAGTTTCCAAAATTTCATCGAAAAGAAGTAAAAGTAAGCAAGCCAATAAAATCTGTTCATAACTTTATCTTCTTCCTTGATATAGACATTTTTGGCCACGTCAATCGACCTCTCCATCATTTCTACGGCAAGATCCAAACTGTCCATGCTGAAATACGTCCGGGCCAAGTTGTACGAGACACGACACTTTAACAACAACCATTCTTTCTCACTTTTACCTTCCGTCATGAAATAAGCTTGACATAAAAAATTCAAAGCATCTTCATCACGGCCTAGTTCTAGATAATAGAAGCCAAGGTTGGCCAATATATCACAAAGTCTCTCGTCAGGTAAGTCAAGTTCTAAAGAAGTATTATAGAGCAATTCTAGACTCTTGACAGCGCTTTCTTCAGGCATGTACGATGTTGAGAAAAGAAACTGACCCTTTTTCATGGAAATCAGGACAAATTCAGCTGTATCATTCCAGGACATATCATTGGCATGATCAACAAATGACTTCAGGTGTGGCCTCACAAGGACTTTAAGAAGTACGTCTTCTTTATGCGTATTGTCCATGTAATCTAGTGTCTCATTCAGAGATTTCATCATTTTAACAAATTCAGGTTTCTCGTTTCCTGCACTTTGAAAAGCATTGTGAATGACCTGATGACATTGTATTGTTTCGACGTTCTGTAACCGTCCGTGAACGAGTAATGTACATCTTGAAATCTCGTTCTTAATTTCTTCTGTTGTTGTTGGCCGTTTATCAATCCGGACTGGTAGGTTTTCCATGACGTGGTGGGCTAGTACAATCAAAGGAACTGGAAGCAATTCACAATACGAAAGAAACGAAAACGTCAGTCGTAGAACATCACTTGTTTCTGCCATTCGTTCCACAGCCATCGCAGTGGCAGCCGTCATGGAAAAAGGATAAACATTGTGAATGGAAAATGTTCGGGATTCAAGTTTGGCATTTTCACGATACAGGTCTAGATATTCTTTCCATCCAAACTGTGTTGAAGCACGATCTTGTCTTGTTTCTCCAACATATGTTGCACAACACGCCAAAGCAAGAGGAAGAGACTGCAACTCTTTAATGATTTCTTCAGCAAAATCATCAACTTCAACATCACTGATCTCTTTAAGCAATGCAAGAGCATCTTCTTTAGTCATACCTTCGTTCAAAGACATCGGCTTTGCAAACAGATGACCAGCTGGTACGAGATTATTATCTTGTGTTGTGACCAGGACCTGACCACCACCCCATTCGTCGGCACCAGGTCGTGGAAATAACTTATTGAAGCCAGTCGTTTGAAACATATCATCAATGATAAGAAGACAAGCACCACTGTAATCACGGAAATAATCTCTCAGGTTTTTCATCAGTTCTTCAAGATTTTTGTTTGTTTGCTCCATACATACTGGGATTTGTAATTTTCGCGTAGCTTCTTTAACAGACTTCATAAGCGAGTCTTCTGACTTAGCGTTTAATGTAGTCACCAAAGGTTTGGATGAATCACTGGCAGATGACGCATTTTCAAACTGTCCACCATATTGTCGAGCTAATTCTGTTTTCCCAGACCCAGGTTGACCTGTCAGATAAACAGTTCTAACAACATCTTCATCATCAGGCATGGAAGAGAAGAATGATTCAATTTTGTTTAATTCTGTTCTTCTTGTACGAGAAAAATGAAATGGCTTCTCAGGGTAAACGTTCGCTATCTAGTAAAAAGTACAAAAATATCAAATTAATTTAGGTTTTTGGTCATAGACTGTAATACGAAACGAAACAAAATTCTAGCAATTCCGAGAACCTACAAGTTGAAACAAAATGTAAGATTTTGGGGGGAGGTCAAGTGGCATCTCCACGCACATGCAACCGGGCTTTGTCTAGATAATTCTGTTAGGGAAAGATTGCTAAGAGACCCCGAGTTAACCCTGCAAATAGCAATTGAAAAAGTCAGGTCAGCTGAACTGACAAATGCCCAATTAAAACAAATAAAGGCTGACCAGAAGATAACGGAGGAAGCTATACATAATGTAAAATCGAACAGTGAACAACGCTCTAAAAATGTGAGCAAAATTTATCAACCCCATGCAATTGTGAACTGCAAGTATTTTGGACAAAAACACCCAAGGTACAAAAATCAGTGCCCTGCATATGGAGCATAATGCCAGAAATATGGGAAGTATAACCATTTTGCAGTCAAGTGAAAATCAAAGCTCGCAGAACCTCCCGGGTAAATTATGGCGAAGATGATGAGGCCACCTCTAAGATGACTATACTATTAGCACTGTAACACATCACATTGGGGATCTGAATGCAAAAAAGACCAATAACAATAAGATCCCAAAGCAGCTGTTTGCAACAATAAAAGTAAATTATGAGGTGAATGTTAAATTCCAATAGATTGCGGTTACTTTGGTTATGGGAAACCCTGAGGATGTCTAGTTGCAAAAGAGCAACGCTACACTAACCATGTATAATGGAACAGTCGTGCACCCCGTAGGCAAATGTAAACTAAAATGCACTACAGGCAGTTCACAGCACACACTTGAATTTCTAAGTGCTAAAACATGCCAAAGTTACAGTTCTTACAAGTTCTCGTAAATGATAAGCATGATGTTGATGCAGTGAATGGTGCATGATGAGATGTCAGTGAATGCAAGTTCTGACATTTTCCAAGAATATTCTGATGTTTTCCAAGGAATTGGATGTCTTGAGGGAAGCTATCAAATTGAAATTGATCCAAAAGTGAAACCAGTAATACATCCTCCTCGCCGAGTGCCAGTCACCGTGAAAGATCCCCTGAAGAAAGAACTATAGAGCGTATGGTTACAGTCGTCAAACCCAACAAATTAAGGATTTAAATAGATTCTAAAGATCTTAACCGAGCTATTAAGAGATCCCATTACCCCATCCCCACCATCGAAGAGGTTGCCACCAAGTTGAGTAATGCGAAAGTGATCTCAGTTCTTGATTCAAAGAGCGGATTCTGGCAAATAAAGCTTGACGAAGAATCCAGCAAGCTGACAACATTCAATACTCGATGGCTTCGAATGCCCTTCGGCATCTGTTCAGCCCCGGACGAAATTCAGAGAAGAATGAATAACTTGAAAAGGACGGCAATGATAGCTGATGTGGGGAAGGTGACGATATCGAAACGGCAACAAAAGATCACGACCAAAATCTCAGAAATACCCTGCAAAGAGCCCGCGAAAGGAACCTCAAGCTGAACAAGGAGAGAGTGAAGTTAACGATGACTGAAGTTTGGTCATTGGTCACCTCCTGACGTTCAATGGAATTAAACCTGACCAGAAGAAAGTGGAAGCTATCCAAAATATGCCTCAACCAACAGATGTACCCTCAGTCAAGAGTTTTCTGGGTATGGTGAATTATCTTTCCAAATTCCTACCCAACATTTCAACTATCACCGAACCAATTCGTCACTCGAAGTAAAAGATGTTCAATGGCACTGGAATAAAAACCAGCAAAAATCATTCGAAGAGGTAAAGAAACTCATCACATGTCATGTCATCCTGTTCTACGCTATTACGATGTCGCCAAGGAAGTAACCCTCTAATGTGATGCATCACAATCGGGAGTTGGAGCGGCGCTTTTAAAAGAAGGACAGCCAATAGAATCCACATCCAGAGCACTTACATCTACAGAGAGAAACGGCGTATTTAAGTTCACCAAGTCAAGTCAGTGAAGAAGAGAAAGAGTTCATGGGCAGTACTGTATCTTTCAATCGTTGCAAGAGCTTCAGAAAAAACCCACGAGATGATGCAACCCCAATACCTTAAAAGGAACATCAAAAGTGGATGGCTCAACCAGAGGAGCAGTGTAATACCAAGAACAAGAGTTTACTATAACGTTCGTGACGAGTTGTCAGTACAAGATAGCTTAATTAATCTTCAAAGGTGAGAGAGTCATTGTGCCCGCATCGATGAGAAGTCAAATGCTGAATAAGATACATTCAAGTCACATTAGTGCTGAAGGACGCCTTCGACGCGTTCGAGAAGTAGTTTTTTGGCCGGGAATGAATGCAGCAATGAAGGAATATGAATCTGGCTGCGATACTTGAAATGGCTACCGAAAAGAACAACCCAAAGAGCTTCTTATATCAGAACCAGTACTGGATAGACCGTGGTCAAGAGTGACCTTTTCACGCTAGGAAAGAAAGATAATGTCATAATGGTAGATGACTATTCAAATTCAATGTCCTAAATCACAGCAATCATCACGAGTATGAAGTCACAGGGGTCCGTGAGATGTGACAACGGACCCCAGTTTTCGTCATGAAGTTTTGAAAACTTGCTAGAGAATGGGAATTCAAGCATATTACGTCATCTCCGCATTATGCACAATCCAATGGAAAGGTTGCGAAGATACCTACGTAGCGTTACTAGCTTGGAGAAACACGCCCACCGAGGGCCTTAATTCATCCCCTGTGCAACAATTGATGGGAAGGACAAGAACCCTTCTCCTAACCTTAGCAAATTTGTTGAAACCGAAACTTCCCTGCATGGTAAAGGAACAGGTAACGAACAAGAGAAGAAAGAAAGAAAGCAAGCACGCTACTATAATCGGGGAAGTAAACTGCTGCCGGAACGTACACCAGGAGAGGTTGTTCGAATACGGTCAGACCCAAATAGTACCCAGAAGACATGGAGAAAAGGAATTTGCAACGAGAAAGTTGCTTCCCGATCATATGAAGTTACAGGGGGTGGACAAAAATTGGCCCCCATAAAAATGATATATCCTGTTCTTTGCCACCTTAAGTAAAGAAAATCTCAACAAAAGTTATGTTTTGAACTTACTTGTTTAGTTTTGTGTATACGTGAATAAAATTTGTGATTTCAAGTCAAGGATTAGAAAAATAGATACGTTTCGAGAGTTTTTACTCAAAATTCAAGATGGCGGATCACTTGAATCAGAAATGTGCCAAAATTATCAAATTCTTCGCGCCACAATGTTCTGATATTCCTAACTTAGTCAGAAAAGTGGAATGGCGTTAAGCTCCAATAGTAAATGTAATTATTTCATGTGTGCAGTCGTATCGTCAGGGTACTGAATGGCTAGAATGTAGTGCAGTAAGGTAAGTATTTTTATAATAACGAAGGTGTGCTCCCCAAGCCACTGTTACTAAGTTATGATATACTGGTAAAGCTATATATGCAATATTTCAATAAACCGTTTAGTTCTAAACCAGTAAGTTCAAAAACATAACTTTTGTTGAGATTTTCTTAACTTATGGTGTCAAAGAACAGGATATGCCATTTTTATGGAGGGGGGGAGCTACTTTTTTCTGCCCAACCTGTATGTCCGAAGGTAAACTGTATGCACAAAACCGAAGGCACTTAGCAGCAACGCCAGAAAGAGACGAAGAGAAAGCAACACTGCCAGATGAAACTCTCGAAAATTTCTATCCACAAAATCCTTCAAAAATTAGTTCTAACGAGTGAGATGCTCAAAATCCTGATATTTAACTAAACATACTGTAAGCTAAGTATAACACCAATTATAATATAAGTGGGATATAACAGACAATTTGATTCGATAATGAGCGTGCATTATGACGCAATAATGCACTGTGGCACAGAATACTACGGCACATAAGTCCATCTCCATTGTTTTTAGCGTAAGCTCTATTCGTCATGATTCGTCACTCAGCAAGTACCGTAAACAGAAGCAGTCCCCCCCCTGGAAATACTAAAAATGGCGCACGTCCAGGGGGGTGACTGCTTCTGTTTACGGTACTTGCTGAGTGACGAATCATGACGAATAACGCTTACGCAAAAAACAATGGAGATGGACTCTGTGTAGTATTCTGTGACTGTGGTCCGTGGCACTGCCTTGCTCTTTCTGTGTTTTCCCCCGCTTCATCTCTGCTTTTTAGCCAAAAATATAAACAAAACTATAGAGCTTTTAAAATACAAAATTTATCAGAAAGCAAGAAGGAATAGACCAAAGAAATAAAGCAACTTTATCTATAGTTTTACGTGTAAAAACAGTAAAATTAGCTGTCGAATTTGTTTTTCTTTCGACAAGTTTTAGGCAAAAGCGTGCAAAATAGCTGAGAAAAACCTTGAAAAAGATATAGGAATACCAAAAACTTAGAAAAATAGGTACGCAGTGCGTACATGTGGATAGCCTTTGGAATAAAAATAAATACGCTAAGCGTACATGCATTTACGTACGGCGTTAGTGGATTAGTGTTTATAGGATTATAGTTGTCTCTTAAATTGACTAATATGATCTATTTGAGGACCGGTTTGTCAATCCCTTAATCCCAAAGAATGGTTGCACAGTACTTGTATATGTAACCTGCGATCAGGCTCTATTTTACAAATAATAGCCTGACACAATCGGCATGGTAGAAAACCCGGGTAGCGGATAACCGGATAACCGGATAACCGGATAATCGGATAACCGGATAACCGGATAACCGGATAACCGGATAACCGGATAACCGGATAACCGGATAATCGGATAACCGGATAACCGAATAGTATATAGAGATTTTTTCATGGGAAATACTTACGTGTGGTATTTACGCACGCGTTATAATCTGTTTTCGCAAATTAAACGAACG